TGTTCTTGGGGGTGACATGATGTGTTATTTATTGTTATGTCTGTTGATGTAGGTTTTCTGTAAATTTCCATGTGTATTCGTCCGTTATCATTAGTAAGTTTTAGGTCTAGGTAAGTTATTTGTTTATTTGTTTCCTCATTTAGTGTGAATTGTAAATTTTTGTTTTGTTCATTGAATTGTTTGAGTATGTGTTGTGGTGTTATTTTAGTTTGATTATAAATCATAATTATGTCATCTACGTATCTATTGTAGTAGACGATGTTTTTGTCTTCAAGTAGGTGTTTTATTTTACATTGTTCGAAGTGTTGTAGGAAGATTTCTGCCATTATGCCTGATAAAGGAGAACCCATGGCTATGCCTGATCTTGGCTTGTAGAATTAATTAGAAATTAAAAATTTTTGAAGTTTGTGAAGGGTGCAGTAAAATAGAGCAATGGCNTTAACGATCAAGTTCCTTCCGTCAAATGTGACACTTTTTTAAGTTTTCCACCTCGTCAGCACCTGCCTTACATGTTTCGGCTCACCACGGAGCCATCATCAGAGGCATTTATAGTAGAAAAAGAAATCACCAACACACAAAACTTCACTTTGTCCAAGATAGCCACGTTCCAGTTAATTAAAATAATTACAAATAGTTAAAATTACCCAGAATGTCGGTTCACTAAAAGTTTTTCACACACCACAGTAGCTTCCTTATTTGATTCGTCGTTAATTCTGTAAAATTATGTTTCGTTATTTGAAGTAAGAATTCTTAAAATCCCTAGAATTCTTTCCCGCTTGGCCCAATCTTTTTGCTTCGGGATGTTGTTGACGTGTGTTGTCTGTAAATAAAAAGTTGTGGTTTTATTTAGATTGTATTATATAAGTTTTTATGTGTATATACTTTTAAGGTTCACTAACCTTACCTGTCGGTAGTTGATGTTGCTTGTCTGTGTGTTGTGATGCTTGTGTGCTTAAGGAGTGCTGTGTCGTGTGGTTTACGTATCCTGTGCTTGTGACGTCAGTGTGGGGGTGTACGAATCCTGTATTATGAGTTCGAAGAGGTTTTTTTGATTGTTGGTTTCTTTTATCTGTCTTTGTTCTTCTATTAATTTTTTGTGTTTGTTATGATAATATATTTGGAAATCTTCCTTTACATTCATTAGATTGCCCTTCTTAGCTGTTTCGAGGATTTCCATGATTGTGGTTATCGGCCCATATTGGTGTCTTGTGTTTAATATATGTTGGGCGAAGGCCGATTCGTCCTTATTTAATCTTATGTTGCGAATGTGCTCAGTGTATCGGGTTGACAGTTTTCTGCCCGTTTGGCCAATGTATACCTTTTGACAACTTTGGCAGGTCAGTTTGTAGATTCCGCTTTGCTCATATGGATCGATGTTTTTTCTTTCGTGTACTAGTTTGCCTAGTGTGTGGTTGGTTTTATAGGCTATCTTTATGTTTGTGTTCCTAAATAATTTAGTAATTTTCCTTATATAATTTCCCGTGTATGTGTATGTGATCCATTTTTGTTCTTTTTTCTCGTTAGTGTTTGGATTGTTTATTTTTTGTTTTAGTTTTTTGTGTATTCGTGTGATTTCATCTTTTCTGTATCCATTGTTTTGCGCAATTTCGATAATGGTGTTTAATTCTTTGTTTTTTGCTGTATCTTCGAGCTTTAGGGTAAGTAGTCTATGTATCCAGCTCCTGTATGCTGCTAATTTGTGTTCTTGGGGGTGACATGATGTGTTATTTATTGTTGTGTCTGTTGATGTAGGTTTTCTGTAAATTTCCATGTGTATTCGTCCGTTATCATTAGTAAGTTTTAGGTCTAGGTAAGTTATTTGTTTATTTGTTTCCTCATTTAGTGTGAATTGTAAGTTTTTGTTTTGTTCATTGAATTGTTTGAGTATGTGTTGTGGTGTTATTTTAGTTTGATTATAAATCATAATTATGTCATCTACGTATCTATTGTAGTAGACGATGTTTTTGTCTTCAAGTAGGTGTTTTATTTTACATTGTTCGAAGTGTTGTAGGAAGATTTCTGCCATTATGCCTGATAAAGGAGAACCCATGGCTATGCCTGATCTTGGCTTGTAGAATTAATTAGAAATTAAAAATTTTTGAAGTTTGTGAAGGGTGCAGTAAAATAGAGCAATGGCTAATCCTTGGAGTGAAGAATGATTATACACAGAAACTTTGATGATCACCTTACTACATATATAATCCAGACATACAAGGAGAAGATCCATGTTTTGCTAACTTTAACCTCACCGAACTTTTACATGATAACATATACCCAGATTTCTTTACATAAAATGTGACAAACTGAATAATCCTTGTCTTTAATATTTTACAACTTTAATATTCATGTATGTAAAAATCTTTTCAGTAAAATTCTTCTGATGTGTAAATATGGCTAGCATTCAAAGTGGCTTACAATAAAATACAATGAAATACAAAAATTCATGTATTAAGATATACATATTGTACCTCAGGCTCTCCTATGGAACTTGCATAACTTTTCCACCCTTCTCCATCATCAGAATATTGCACAATGTATTCTGTAACATACTCCATAGTTCCTGCCCGTCCCTGAGTCGCTATGGATCGGATTTCTTTCCTGTCATCCAGATTAATTGTTAGAAAATGATAGTATGTGTTATCTTTGGGGCTCCAAGCTAAATCGCCTGTAAACAATAAAGGGAAAGTTGCTTTGAAAGAGTGAAATAAGAGATGTTAGTACAAGAAAAGTAAGAAAAAACACCATGGAAGCCCATGCACCTGATTCATAAAAATTCCATTGCTGACGTTATTCAACTGAAGATAGCTGTAAATTAGTAGAAATGGTTGGAAAGTGCTCACAATTAAGAACCAAACAAAACCACAGGCCCCGTGTGATTTATCGTTCTCATGATGATGACTATGAACATTAATCTCTTCTAGGATGTGACACTGTGTAGCCTGGTACTGCTTCACAGGAGTCTGCTGCCTCAAACTTCAGGAAAGAGTGAAGATGGAAGCAGCATGTTCCTCTCAAATGAAAGTAAATATCTTACCTGACTACATATCACATACCAGACGAGTAATCTTAACATAAACCATAGCTGAGGAAGACTGCCTCAAAATTTATACCACGATCTTTAAACATGAGTCAGGAGCTACCTCCATTATACAATGTGAGCCATCAGCAGTATGCACACTGAAAGTTCAACCTATCAGTTTTGACAGGAAATCATGCCACATAGGACATGATGAATATAGAAAATTATACATATGTGAATTAATATCATACAGACAGTTCTAAACTGCAATGGATCCATTGTTATTAGTCCCGTCTTATACAACTGGTTCCACATGATGTGATAGAGTAACTTATATAGGATTGAGTAACTAGTGTAGATAAGTCTAAATTTACATTATTACAGCATAAACTAAACTGGAAGTTAAAATTAATTTTAATTTATTTACATGTTTATCACAGAACAACAAAATAGGTAATGGATGATAAACACATAAGTTCACAAATGTAATTACAAGTAACACAAAGGCTACACTTATTATTTTTATAACACATATTCTTAATTTTTCAGACACCACCAATCACAAATCAGCACAAAGCCAGCAGTATGGTATATATCTGTTGTGTAAATTTCTCAGCTAAACATAATTTTACCAAAAAATTAAATATTGAATATGGAAAAAAAATTTTATTAGAGTCAAATGAGGTAAAATTCTTGGGTATGACACTGGATAACACAATATCTTGGAAAGAGCATATAGATTCAATTATAGGTAAATTAAATAAAGCCTGTTACATAATTAGGAAAACCAAACAGTATTTAAATATTGATGCCCTTAAAATGGTGTATTACGCCTTTTTCCACTCAGTGATGTCTTACGGTTTGATTTTTTGGGGAAATAGAACTCTCAGTATGTGCGTTTTTAAATTGCAGAAGAGAGCTGTTCGAATAATGGTGGGAGCTGGAAACAGAGATTCATGTAAAAAAATCTTTAGACAATTGAAAATATTACCACTGCCCTCTCAATATATATATTCTTTGATGATGTTTGTAGTTAATAATATGGATTTATTTGCAGAAAATTCAGATATATATACAACTGTAACAAGAAATAGTTCAAATTTGCATCTCCCCTCATCAAATCTAACAGCATTTCAGAAAGGTCCACAGTATTTTGGAATCAAAATTTATAATAGTCTTCCACGCAAAATAAAACAGTTATCCAAAAACAAAAATCGATTCAAGAAAGCACTATTACAATTTCTCCATTTACATTCATTTTATGGTATTGATGAAATTTTTGATTACACGGTTAAGAAGATTGATAATTGATTTTATTGGGATTAAATACTTAATTAATGAAAAGTTAAATTACAAGTTTTATAATTTTAAAATTATGTTTACATAAATATTTTAACATGTATTATATTTTTTGTAATTATTATATTTAATTGTTATATTGGACTATTGTCTATATACTGAGTCTTACGACCTTGTAAAGGATTTTTGACATGTAAATAAATGAAATGAAATGAAAAATGAAATATCTGTAATTCACAATACCACATCACACACACCCCACTAAAGTACATACACTTTACACACTATAATTCAACACGCACCATCCATCCTACCCCATTTTCCATAACCCCTTCCACTAAAATCCTATACAAAGTAAACTAAAGATTAGTTTTAACTTCCAATTTAGTTTATAGTATAATAATGTAATTTTATACTTACCTACACTAATTATTGAATAATCTTATATGAGTTACTACATCATATCATGATGAACAAGTTGTATAAGACAGGACTAGGAACAATGTATCCATTGCAATAAGCAGTCCAATAATGTACGTTGACAACATTTTTAATATTTTATGCGCCCAATGACCATATATGATCAAAACATGCAGTGAGTGAATAAATACAGATTACATCAATAATATTTGTCTCTTCACTTGTTTATTTATAGTTGGGTTGTGACAGCTAACTGATACACATAGAAGGCAGATATATATATACATGAAAACTATTACCCATGTTTTGAATTCTGCTCCACCCTGTGTACATACAGCAAACAAATGCATCACTCATCACAATAATCACTGACTATGGAGGCAGTCTCTGAAACACTGTAAGTTCATTCCATGCTGACACACTTGCGTAGATAACAGACACAATTAAATGAATAACTGTCAGACAATGGTATTTTTATGTTCCTGATCTCCAATCTATGTTACAGAACATGCATATATTACAAGAATGTTACCGCTCCGTACCACTTACCTTTGTGTTACCTCCAGGCTCTTTGTAATCAGCATAATCAAGTCCATTGGTGCCGTAACTGATGCTGTATTCCATGACATATTCTGACGAATGACGTCGTCCTTGAGTAGCAATCCGAGTGACATTCCTCACACTACCCAGATCAATGATCAGATACTGGTCAAAATCTGAGTTGGATGCTGTCCATGCATTGTCACCTATACCAGAGCAGGCGGGCGAGAGCACAACCATGCATCAGCCACCAACATCAAATCATAAAGTAAACAAAAGAAGTGAAGGAAGGATATTTCTCTTTTTTAAATAAGAAGGTAGGAGAAAGACTGAAAACGGATCACAACCTTTCAATACATTTCTATATTCCTACAGAACTGTGAACTGCTACGGAAAAAACATAACTGACAAAGGATGGCACTCAAAAACAAGCATATGGGGTTCATATAAGTGCTTTATCTACATGATTACAAAATGTATTTTGGACAACTGATGATTATTCATTTTGGTCAATAAATATCTGTTATGCAGTCAAAAGGGTCATCACTGTGTTCACAGAAACCTGTCATCGAACCTTAGCGCAAGCCAATTCAAATAAATTTACACCTTCACAACTCTCTTCTCCACAGTTCATACTCCAATTTCAAGAGATTTTCTAACTACAACTTTATAATAATTTGCTGTTTCCCCAGTGCATACTACATGACCCATCCAGTTCATCATTCTTGACTTGAATACATTCAGATCTGGGGTTCTCACAGCAGTGGTTTTGAAGAATTCTATCTTCTGGGATATAATGCTATATAGTCTGTTACCAGTGAACCAATGTATTGGAAGAACATGTTGCCTCCATCTTCAGGGTAGAAGATGAAGCCAAGCAAGAAACCAGCATAAAGCAGATATCAAGCATAGCTTGGCTTACTCTTCTTGTGCATAATCCCACATCTCCAAAAGCAATGTGCTTTTGTTCTACTTGTTTCACAATGGTTTCTTGCCCCTTAAACCCCGAAGATGAAGGTGACATGTACCTCCAACACATTGTGGACTAGACAACGTTGCATCCTGGAAGACAGACCTTTTCAATATTAGGTGAAACCACTGAGAGTAGTTTTGTCAGAAACACCCCATTAACAACTCACAATATGTGACAAGCATGTTATCAGCTCAAAAGACAGGAATAGTATTTTTCTAACTGGCGCACTTTCAAACAAAAACAAACAAACTCCCTGGCTTTAGTCTTCAAGCGAACTATACTGACCGAGCGAACACCATTTGTCGGCAAAGTTAACTTTCACTCTCAGTAATTGAAATAAGGATTAAAATTGGTGTGAACACCACACACAAATGGCAAGGCTTTGAAAACTCTGACAAGACCTAGTCATTGTGTTAGTTTTTATTCATGCCGCTGATAGGAACATTACAGATGCAATCTGTGTATTTACTACATCACTAATCCTTGTGTGTGTGAGAGAGAGACTAAACTGCAAAATTAGCACTCAGTTATAACACATGACTCACTTCGCTCATAAGGTACATGCGTACTACCGTAATACTGTTCTACCTGTTACTTGCTTCTATCAAGTGTCTAAGAGCAATCAGTCCAATGTACAGAATATGGGAACTGCATACAAGACATTTCTAGTAAAGCAGATCACCAGCATCAGGTCAAGAACAATTTTGGAACAGTACTCATTGTTTGCTATAAGGTGTAACTACTGCTGTAGCTCTTCTTGGCAGTATATCCTTTATGATGAGGGATGCAGCTGTCTCCGTACATTACAAGACTCGTGCACTTGTTGCATAGTAACGACTCTACATGCTACAGTATTGATGTGTCAATCTGTGCAAAAAACTAATAACAAATTTAATGGAGCTGACCCCTTCTTGAGAAGCCGCCAGTTGTGCAGCTACTCAAGAACTTCCCAAAACTTTATGAACTTGAAGCTTCACTGATGTGTTCACAGGAGCACACCACTGGTCCTGAACCTGAGCCAGACCAATTCAGTCCACACCAGCCCATCCTATCTAAGATCCACTTTAATATTATCCACCCACCTACATCTTAGTCTTCCTAGTGGTCTCCTTCTTTCTCTTTCCCACCAATATCCTATATGTATCCCTCTTCCCCCATTCGTGCAACATGGCCTGTCCATCTCAACATCCTTCACTTATTATTGGAGAAGAGTACAAGTTATGAAGCTCCTCATTATGCAGTTTTCTCTAACCTCCTGTCACTTCATCTCTCTTCCATCCAAATATTCTCCTCGGCACCCTGTATTCGAATACCCTCAATCTATTTTCCTCCAAACATGTCACAGAACAAGATTCACACCTAAACCTATAAAGTACAGTAGAACTTGGTTATAACGTTGTAATGCCCTAGCGGCGCAGGGGGGGATGGAGGTATCCCACCCGCTGCCGCCACTGTAATGCCGTGGAGCAGGGGGGGCGTGGAGTCAGCCTCCTCTGCCACCACTGTACGCCGCACGTAGGGGGCCGTGGGGGTA